TATTTAATGTAGTTATTTGCACTCACAATTTAAATAGTTTGCCTGTAAGGTGATTTTTATATGAAGTATAAAAAAACTATTTTTTTTTATCTTAGTTTCACATTTAATTTGTATAATCTCTAAGACCTCATAAATGAATATCAAATGTTTTTTTAAAGTAAATATTTATATTTTATTTTCCATTTTCTCTACTATACTAATAACTATATTATCATCAACATACCGTGTTTAAAATTAACAAATGGTAATATGTACATATCTTTGAAGTCTTTATCTTTTCACTTAATTTAGTTTTAATTTTCCTTTCAAATTTTTTGTCTATTACCATTTATGCCCATACATTAACTGATACCCACAGATAACATAAAAATTCAAATTATAACATACATTATGATGTTAATTTTCTTATATTGATAATAAAGTGGTTTAATTAAATTTTGAGTGTAACACAGTAACGTACACAGAAAGGAATTTAAAAATGGTACTGGGGCGATAGGGTTAATGTTTTTTTTAAAACAGCCCCCTAACAACAAAATCATGGAAATACTAAATCAAATTAATTAAGTTTTTTTTATTAAATAATAAAATTAGTTTGTAAAGCAGAAGCTAGAAAGTTTGTACTAGTTTTTGTACAGGTTGGTAAGTATTTCAATGTGAGAAAGATATCAGTGATATCCATCGATTCTAGAAAGGGTTTAAACTAGGGTATCTGTGATTCTCTGCTGACAGTTTCTAAATACTTTTCCTTAACATTATCTACTTTTTTTTTCTACCTTTGAAAAATATTTCTAGGTTTGTTTTCCATATAATTATATTATTAAGAACTAGTCATCAAAAGTAGAACAGAAAGAAACTGTACATTATTGAAACCTACCCTATATAATAATCTAACTAGAACTACTTAATATCAATTCCCCAAAAAAACTGATTTTGGTATTTCGGAGGTGACTCATAGTTTGATTATCTATATGTCCGTTTCCCTACAAGTCTTAGTTAAAATAGTTAAAAATTGTATGTACTTCAAAATAACAAAAATCTAAATTAATTGAACCTTTGAAAAGTATCTATGATTTTTTTTGGACAATTACAATTTTGCTTCACACCTAATATTGTCTAATGAGGAAAAGTGGTCCAAAAACTATTTAATGCCATAGGTATATAGCATTAAAAGTAATGTAAAAACAAATACACTTCTAAAAGAGTATCTTCACGTTTATAGTTCCACATATATAGCAGTGATAGGGTGGAAAGGCATACTGAATGATGGAAGTTGAAATATTGTGTTTGTGTTGTTCCTTTAACTTTAGAAAAGTAAGTCTGCCGTGAAGTTTAAATTTTACATTATATTAAGGTTTTTCTATAGGTCTCTACATTCTGCATAAATACCCATAGAAAAACCTTCTTTGTATTCTTATTACCATGTTTGAAAGTCCTTATTATCCACAATGTCAATACCAAATCTCTCATTTCTTGTCACGTTCAAGTAAGTACACCCCTAGTCTCATCCAGTATTGCAACAAATTTTCATCTGATATACTAGGTTGTTTCTTGTTATCTTTGCATAGTTTTCTGCATTTTGTCGTTCTTTCACAAAGTGCCTGATGAGCAGTTGTGATTTGTGCTCATTTCCGAAGACTATTCATGTAAATTATCTCGTGAACGGTTGATTTGAGTAATTTATAACTTAACAATTTCTTTTTCAAGGGGTTCCTGTGTGGCCAACCTACAAAGTTTAGCAATTGTATCAACAGTCTTGCATGCTGTGTAGTACTGTTTAAATGGCTTACATCTTCCTATGGGTTTAATGACTTTCACATGGCAATACAAATCAGTGTTATAGATAGTTATCTGAAATTAGTATGTTTCGGGCTTTACATTTCTTAGCTGTTACACAATACAACTATCTTTATTGAGAAGATATGTCCTGTAAGTCTGCTTTTGGATTGTTAAATACCTGGGCATTTTTCCTGAATGAGTATGTAAGTCCTGGACATGTCATTCTTGTTCCCATGACTCGTATCCAAGGCAACATGCCACTTTAAAAAAAATAGAATCTTAATTAATAATATTCAAATATATCAATCTTAAATACTAAAAAGATACAATGGAACTTGAGAAATAAAAATACCTTTCAGAATGATTGATTTCGATGATAATACTCCTGAAGTAAGAATAATTCCTTCTTACGTTGAATTTGATTCAAGGAAATATTTATCAAGAAATAAATAACTTATCAAGGCTAAGCAGTTTCAAGGAACTGTTTCTATTTATAGTCCTGTTTAGAGTTGACCATGTAAGATGTTTCATAGTTTAGTATCAATAATTATAACACAGTTTCTTCCATACCATAGCAAACTGTATGTTGTCTTGTAGTTAAAGTATGTTACTCTCTCTCTTTAATATCCTGGAAACTTTTTTTTTAGTTGAAGAAAGTGATATCATTGAGTTGGAAAAGTGCTACTGGCTGCTGAAAACACAGTCTAAAACGGGAAAATTTGATCTCGAAACACTGGTTTTGCTGATTAGCCCTCCAGTTCCACTCTCTTTATGTGAAGGTAAAATACTTTTTAGATAAGATACCAAAAAATTCATTACGTACAACTCATATCATTGTATTTAGGCATATTTAGGTTATTTTTATTTTCTGTGTATTTAATAAAAAAAAAAAGTGCTTCCCAACTTTTTGTAACAGCATTGATACATATTCGTAACAGTTTCATGCTTTTGTTCACTCACTCTTGTCTCTATATTTGTGATGTTTTTATTATGAGTATATGTCACAACCAAAATGTGTCGCACTGAATTCAAGCACAATACAACTGTATTGAAATAAACAACCATAACTGAAAGAGTTACTGGCTTTAGTTTATGAATGCAGTATTTTATTTCTTCTGTATATAATTCCATATCATTATATACATTATGTATGTGTGTGCATGTGTATTTTGCATTATTACTTTTAGGGTATGCATAGAACCAGTTGGGAATTAGTGTATTAATCTATACATCTAGTTTCATGTTACCTCTTGTAATATTTGTTTTGAAATAACATAAATTTAAATCATGTTGAAAACTTATTAAATCTTGTGTTCAAAATTTATGTAGATTATCTTGTAACCTCATATTACATAACTTCTAAGAAGTTTGATCTTTTAACTTGAAATCACTCTTGCTGTTCAGTAGATCAAAGTGTTATGTTGTGAACTGACTGGTATGGGCCTCGGGCAGTAAACTTGTATAAATAAGAATTTCACAAGAAGTTATTAATTTTAAAATTATTGACTATCACTGATGATAGTATTTTGTAACTTGTATAAATACTAATTTCTGTAAAATGCCTTATTAGTAATCCATGTTATTATGTATCAGGTATCTAAAAAAATGGCCTTACTAGAATACTTTAGTGAATTATTTGTTAAAGTTGAATTTCTTGTGTATTTAAAATAAGTACTTCTACTAGTAAATTCAGCTGTATAACATAAAATACCAGATTAATGATATTTTTTTTTACCAGGTGTGTTCAATGCTTTTGATGAAAATCGAGATGGTCATATAGATTTCAAGGAGATGGCTTGTGGGATATCGGCATGTTGCAGAGGGCCTTTGGTAGAAAGACAAAAATGTAAGTTTTAAAGTTAATAAAGTACTATACATTAACTCTTTCGAGACAGATCATGGGTAAAAGGCCACGTCATTCTCGTTTGTTGACTCGTATTTAAAAGTTGTTGAAATACTGTTTCATTAATTTATGTCAATAAGTTTGGTATCAAACTGTAGTTTATAATTCAAATTATACATTACCCAATTTCTCAATTTTAAAGTAAATATAAAAAAAAACAGATAAATATCGATTTTGTGTGTGTATGTGTGTGTGTCACATGGTATGTTGCTTCTATATATGACATGAATAACCAATAGGAAGCTCAGAATGTTCCCCTAGTGGCTTTCTTGGCCATTTTAACCAATATTTCAAGAAGGTAGGTTGTGTCTTTAGTCTGCTCGAAATTTCGTATTTTTTAGACTAAAATACATCTTAGTTACTAAGCTTGATAAATTATAGTGGAATTCTATGGTATTGATGTAGTAATTTATGATTTTTTTAGTTATTCAAATGTATATATATCAAACTTAAAAAAAATTATTTTGTTTCATATCTTCCATGTGCAATTTTTTTAAAGGCTTAGCAACCTACGTCAAACAGCAACCGAGTACAAAGGTCATAACTAGAAGAGATAATTGTTTGCTTCACTTCTTTATTTACTGTTCTATGCTTTAAGAAAAATAAGGTTATGAACTTATTTGTAAATAGTAATAATCTATATACATATATATAATGTATAATAATTGAAATGTGACTGTATTTTTCAAAATACTAGTCTACTAAAACACAGCCAAGACGAGTTACTTTGTACAGACAAAAGGACAGTTTTATGTTATTTGATACGGTAACATGAGTGCTCATGAGCTGTATCATTGTAACTTCTGTTGTTAGCCAGGCACGGCAAAAAGGTCAATATAATAAAAATAATAAATATATATGAATGTATAATGTTATGAGATTTAAG